GTGCCGAAATCAAGAACGATATAAGCTCAGGAGGCGACATTAAATTCGGGCATGACTCCAGGTGAGCCAGCAATATCATTGAAGACCACACGAGGAAGATGATTAGTGACTTCTGAAAGCACTCGAGCCGACCCAAAAGGTGCTGCAACAGAGGCTGGCCTACCATTGTTGTAATGTTTTGCCCAAAAACTATTGCAGGGCCAGCTTCCTTCAAGAGGAATCTGATAACTGAGCAGTGAAAAGGCAGGAAAGAGTGTAAAAAAAACTGTTGACTTATCTAAGTGACCGCCCCGATTTAATTTCCCTATCAGCGAACAGGGTTCTACTGTGGGCAAATCGCCGATTGATAAGGCGTCGTGCCCGTAAGCCTCACTAGAGAGAAAGTGAATGAGGGAAAGAGTAGAAGTCAGGATGCTTTCGTCACTTGTCTACAACTCTCTATGAGAAACCCATCCTAACAAAAGCGCAGCACTCTGAAGCTGGGCCTAGATACCTATCGGAGGCGTAGCACGCCTTTCCGAGCCGCTTAGAGTTTCCGAGTTAATCACTACCTCAGCAGACTTCCCTGGAAAGAACGGAAGGTAGGCTGCTTTTTTAGCAAGAACATCACTTTGAACACATTTGGCAATAAGGAGTTCCAGACAGTGCATTCGATATCCGATGAAAGTACAATCACTTCCCTTCCCTTACGAAACCCCTTCCGATTCCATTCAACCTTCCGATTATCGCAGAAGAACTTAACAGTAACTTCTCGATATCCACGAAAAACAAAGCTACAGGCATCCTCATTAGCATGGATCACTTCTGGAACTGATCCTGTCAACCAATGTTCAATCCTCTACAATAGCTAACGGATCCAGTCTATTGAAGACAAGACTAGGGAAAATAATCTCTGGAAAGAAAATATCAACACGAACCATCAATATGGCAGTACACGACGATTAAGGTCAATCGCTAAACAGACAGAACGTACACGAAAAGGAAGAAAGGCTCTCGACAAGCAGATCCTTTAGTACATCAAAGCTCCAGCTTCAGTACATCAAATGAGGTACGCTCCAAAAATGACGACCTCTCTCTCAAAGTCTCCAACGAACCAACACCTTATGATGATGATGATGAACATCGTGACCGTATAAAGCCTTCATTCGAAACGAAGCAATGGGAAGTTCCAAACAAGCCGCGGACTAGAAAGAAAAAGAAAAGTTCTGAACTACGATGGAAGAACGAAAATGAGGTCTTATCGAGAAGCACAGTTAGCCACTTTCAAATCGGTGAAGAAGAAGAAGAATCAGCACGCATATATAGAAAACAAGACGAAACCTCCGGAGAAAGAAGACCAGCATGCATGTATAATGAACAAAACAAAACCTCCGAAGAGAAGAGACAGAGCTTTCAACCCAAGCATTATCATTTACTTCCCCCAGTCCGACCGCCCTCCTTCGCAGGAAATGGATGTCTTTCCTACGGTTATCCCTGTACTTATGTTTAGCAGCTAGCTTGATCTCACCTATCTCCGAAGCGGACAGCAACATCGTCGACGACTACTGTATCCGGCACAACACCAACTCCAAATCCATTCCGGCTCGCACACCATTGCGAGGTGAAAACATGGACAAAAGCTCGGAAGCTGCTGTCTAACCAATTTCTCACGGCAAAGAATGGGAACCAATTGCAGACATGCGACCACTGACATGCGTACACAGCGACATCGATACAGGATGCTCTCCAACAACCAAGGATTCCCTCGGTCCGTTTGAACTTAAGACAACAGCTCGAACGCGAACGAAAACAAACCAAAGTATATGAATGGAAAAAAATAAGAAGAAACTATCTTCAAAAGCCTAAGAAAAGATGGAACGAGGACTATCTCATAAGCAATAAAGAACCATCTCAACAGAAGGACAACAAACAGCCACGCTCATCAGAAACCTGTCAAGAAAACCATATTGTCACAGTAAAAGATTCCATGGAAACGGAAGCGGCCCCACTACAAGCCACCAAACTCGCCCCTTCACAAGACACAAATAGAATAACATTCTATGGGAGCCTGAAAAAACTAAAAAGAAACTTCATCATACCACCTTCTGTAATCACCCCTCAAACCTAAACTCCCACGTTACATGCCACCACCTCTGACCGGCGTTCCCTCAACTACAGCATTGCAATCAAGAAAAACAACAGTATCGCACCATCCAAACTGCGAGAGAGAAGACCACCAGATAATACTGTGATCTTATGATCTATGTCAAATATTGTGTCTCTGTTTTTTTCGGGCGGGAGTGTTTTTTCGCCTATAAGCTCATTACCTATCGTGGGTTATATAAGCCTCACTCATGACAGAGTGAGGTTCAGTTATACGTGGTTAGCGGTTGCATTACCTATGTTACGACAATAAAGAAGCTATGATACCCGTCGTGGAATACAAGCTTCACAACACACGGAGCCAATTGGATTGGCTCGTCTGTCTAACCGGCCGACGCTCCTCGTTCTGGACTCGGCGAGTCGTATCGCAGGCCCATCTCAGGCATCCTCAGTTAGGCAGAGTGGAGCTGCTTCCATCGGTTTCTTGCATAGGGCCAAGCACTCACTGCAAGTGAGGCATGTTTGCCTATCAGCAGGGCCGGATACACCGTTAGCTTGAGCGTTTCTCACAGCACCGGGCGGTCGCAAGCAGGATGCAGCGCGACTAGCTCTATCTCTAGGCTGCGTTGATTCGGGTCTTCACCGCCTGGTCCACGCTGCCATCAGCTGCTAGGTCGCTCCCCAGGTACTGGAAATCCTCGACCCTTTCGATGCTCTCGCCATGACGATCTACGATGACTTCGGCGCACTCTTCGGAGCTTAGGAACTTGGTCTTCTTTACGTTCAGCCGGAGTCCATTCGCAGCGAGCACATCCTGCCACCGCTGCACCTTGTCCTGAAGTTCCTCCCTGCTGTCCGCTATCAGGGCGATGTCTCTTTTGCCATGACATCTAGAGTCAGGAGGAAGAGAACGGGCTGAGGGCTGATCCTTGTAATTGGTTCACTCCTTGTCAAGCGCTAGCGGGGTGCATACAGCAGCTTACTCTCTTCGCTGCATGTCCTCACTAATCGGCAGACTAGGTCTTCGGCAACGTTACGTTCTCTAAGCGTCTCTCCAGAGTCAGGCCAAAGGCAGGCGCGACATGCCTTCTATCGCCAAACGTCCAGGTTCACTGCCACCCCTGGCAGGCGTCGTATAAGCTGACTTTCTATTCAGACTCTCGGACTCCAATTCACATTGCACATTTATTCCCTTAGGCCAAGTAGGGACGTTCGGAGAAACCGCCGATCATACAATTAATACATATTCTGCATAGGTAATAGGACGATCTTCACCTCCTTTGCTCCGCTCAGCGGCAGTTTGGGAGACAGAAGCGTTCAAATTCCGTGGGCGAAAGTTAGGCAGGAAGGGTAAGAAAAGGGGGTGCTGTCCCTCAACCAGACCGGCTACATCCATCATCACCAAAAGTGTGGGTTTTGGAGCGACTGTGAGTACAGTATGTTTTCCGAAATAGTCGAAAGAATGAAGTCAGCTGAACTAATGGTAGGACGCAACCAACGCCATCCTCCATTGAGCTAGCTGAAGGCAATTCGAAGGCTGGGCGTGTAGGTTCGCTCTGAAGAGCTTCGTTTATACTTTGCGAATAGAATTCGCGTACCATCCGGATTAGAGGTTGGATCAACCGGTTCCCTTTTGAGAGCATGCTCTCCATTCGCGCTTACCGAACTCGGGGCAAATCAGTACTTATATTTTCTGCAAGCTTTCTACAACATTCGCGAAGTATTAACGTGACTTCGGGCAATGAGCGCTACCTTATTAAAGGGCTCAAGAGAGCTTAGGTGAAACTACGCTCCATACTGTTAGTTCCTCTGCGAACGTGCCTTAACCAAATGAAATTCCTATAAAAGCCGAGAACAACGGAATAAACTCTTTATTACTTTCCATACAAAACAAGTCTAGGTCAGTTCAAATACATAACACGAATCACGCCTTTCTTGAACAATCGGGAGAATCAAACTCGGCCATTACGTAACAATCTTGGGAGAAACGTGAACAAAACGCTATCCATAAGAAGATATACATCTAGAAACCAGTGGAGCACCAGCAAATTCACCCTATGAAGATAATTTCAAAGGAACGAGGTTCTAATCAGACTAGATCTAGGCGCTAACGTTTTGGGGAAACCATCCCACAACGACTCTGTGCCTTGAAGTTCTTTTAATATAATAACTGCTGTTTAACACCGCAGTTCGCGCGTAAAGTTACCCGCCTGGGGTCTGACTTCGGCCCATAGCCTGTGCGCTTCTTCTTCCAGCCAAGGCTTAGGCTGAGTCAGTGGGCACGATGGCTGGGGCGGGCGGTTACTGTCAACGTCACTGGTGGAAGGGCTGAGTGGGGTGTAGCCAAACACCCTCTCGCAGCCCTTCCACCACCTGACGTTGGCAGTGACCGGCCCCCACCCATCGTGTCCACTGCTTCGAAATGCAGCGCAGTATCGTTACAACCCTCTAATACTTCAAATAGCACTTTATCAGAATTTATTAAGACTGAAAAGAAAGAATAAGCATGTAGATGATAGGCAACGAGCTGTATGAGCTTAAAGTGAGCGCACTCATACGAAATGGCACATCTTTATGATGGCCATGATATGACTACCCAAAACGCTGCTAAAGTAGTCCGGAGGGGGTGCTGAGGTGGGGCACGCGACAAGAATATAACACGCTCTCCCTTCCCCACAACCACTCCTAATCTCTTGTAGAAAGAACATTTGCACTGCGATAACATTGTTACAAGTTTTCAAATGACAAAGTACAGAATTAGAAGCGTCACTGCTACGATACCGCCTCCTAGCCTTAGTAGTTGAAACCTGTGTTAAATCTGAGCACTTCGTATAAGAAGCCATATATTTTCAGTCAATGAGACCTTTAGATTTCTCGAACTTTTCCAGTTCTCGCTGAACCAGATCGTCAGACTCGTCAGTCACTTCCACCACCTCTTTCACCTAAATGATACCAAGTACTTGTAAACTCATACGCTACCGCATTTATCTTTAACAAAAATGAATCTTCTGTTTATTTGTTAGGCAGCGTTCAGACTCCAAAATGATGCGCGTCGACGCGTCACCATGGCAACAGCACCCCAATGCTATAGCTGGGACCGCGGCCATAGAAGGATATTGATCGGCGCCGACAGCTACTGCTTTGGGAGAGTATGAGAGAATAGGAGGGTGCGCGTTGCTTAATCACACAGTCTGCTAACCTCCTCTTCACATACACTCTCCCGAAACACAAGTCGGCGCTGATCGATACCAGACAAGGAGATTAGGGAATGCGTACTACTGTACTTCTCTTTTATGCTCTCAAAGCAGCAGTTGCTGGCGGCGACCGAAACCAGTCTATGGCTGGGCTCCCGTCTAGCGTTGGATCGCTGATGCAGTGGTAGCGCTCTGATGCGCCCACAGCTCGTCGACGCGAGTCTTCGCGAAGTCTGGACGCTGCCTCAGAGACAGTAGGTGTGCCTATGATTCGAGCAGCAGTTCTAGCGCCATTGATGGAAGGATGCTGAGCCAGCTCACTAAGAGATGTCATCCAGCGTACTAGCACCAGTGGCGTTGAAACTACTTTCGGCTCCAATGCCAGAGTTTCCGATGTTTCTATAAAGGACTGAGAAACCGACCTCCGGAACGTAGAACTGCAACATGTTTTGAATCCCTGACTTCAATGTGATTGAAGAACTAGGGCATCCTGTACACGATCCCTGAACTAGCAGTACAGACTGTGAGAGAAATCGGCGGCTTATAAACATTCGAAGAAGGAAGGTCGTTATAGAAGTCTCTGTGCAACTGGGACTCCCGCAATAGAGATGAAGACCTTGCCTGACCTATAGTGGGAGGAGCTCGAAATTCGCAGCAAACTTGAGATTCACTTCCTATCGTTGAATGACGCGAGCCGCGGCGCTTGCCAGGGAGTGCCTTCGAATGTACTCTCCCCCAGGCTACAGCGCAACATCTACCTAAGCATCACGAAATCGGCCTCATAATCCTGAGGTAAACACACAGAGCACAGCACCACTTCTTTCCGGCCAGACCTTGGCGCTAGAAGAATGCGGCAGCAACCATCAGGTGTGGATTTTCACTGCACATTGCAAAACTGTGGCGTTACAAGTAGCGTCACATGTGTGGTATTGTGCGCATCGCCGGATGTAGCGAAGCGCCAATTCCCTGTCGCGGTGAGTATGACGAAATAAATCTTACAAGCGATATCTTGCATGCAAGTACCCAAGCACTATCGTCCGACTACAGCGCCATGTTTGCACTTAAGTGATTTTTTTATATCGAACGCCTACAACATGGCATAAGGTACCACTCGGGATAAGACAGTTCGATTTATAGTGTACTGCATCGCAAGGCGATCAACGTGGAAAGAAATCATATCGGAGATCGAAGTGACCGCCACAGTATAAGGAAGGCTACCAACTGAGCAGTCATTGCGACCCCTGCTCATCCCGCTGCTTCGCTATTCCATTCCATGATTTCTATTTCTTTCGCCTGCATTCTCGACACTTATGTAAAGTGTAGACATGGCTAAAATATTTACAGTTCTTGCACCATAATTGTTACTCGCATGTTATGCTATGGATGTTATGCTTCCCACCTGTTTTCATCGTCGCTTGCTGTTTCTTTTGCTAAGTTTGAGATAGATGATCTCCCACATCCGTGCTGTTATGTTCTTTGTTAATACTTTTGATGAATGAAGTTTAATTATCCAAGTTCGAGTTGGTGCCTTTATTGGCCTGTCTCGGTGATATACATTGTTATGGAGAGCTAGTTTGATGCCATCAGTCATGGAAACTGAACCGCTATCTACGATCAACAGGTTAGTCTGCCATTTTCGCACAA